AATTCTGAAATCAAATGCAACTTTTCGGCTTTTTCGACATTAACTTTAAATTTTTTGGTACGCTTCGGGTTTTTTCTTTGTACAATTACAATAATGGAGCTTTTAATTTACATAAATAAAATACTTTAAATGAGAAAATTTGCAAAGAAAACTTGTCTAAAAAATAACAGAAAAATCGAACAACTAAAATCATGATACAAAAAGAAGTTAGTTCCATTTAATGACATTCGTTGTTGTTGTTAACCATTTGACTTTTAATAAAATTATGACATTTCATGAAATTCGTGCTACCTGATCACTAGAAGTAATATTTTTTTTTTTTGTAAAAGTAAACAAAAGTCTATGAAAATGAGTGAAGTTATTGAACATAAATCAAATAAAGAAAAAAATGTCTTCAATAATTTTGTGTAAATTTGCAAAAATAAAGCGAAAGAGAAAAAATTAGTTGTGTCTTCCCAAACTGCGAAAATTCGGTACATATAAGAAAAGGATCTGGGGTAAAATTGTTTGTTGTTTCTAAGTTTGCGCTTGCCCGAAAACAGTAGTTGTAAGCGTGTAATACTTGCCAAGAAAACTTACCCAGATATCCATTTGTGTGCGAAACTATTTTGAGCCGGAAAAACAAATCTCGAATCTTACAAAGTGAAGTAATCTTGAAATTTGGTGGAGGAGCTCAGTGAAAATAGTTTCAAACCACTAAACGAGATTGAAATATCCACAGAAGAAGAACTCGAGGTAAAATACTTGACCTTTAGTTTTTAGTTGATTCCTAATTTTCTTAAGTAACTTGCAGAAGATTTCATCAGTCCACTCAAAGATGTGGAATATGATGGACTTGAAAATTTTACCGGCTACATAATTTCAAAAATGGGGTTGACAAAACTAGGCTTCAGAACGCATGAAGAATCACCGTTCGTGTCCAGGCACTTGTTGTTAGTAATTTTGCACGTTCCTTTCCCCCTCAGTGTCACTCAGAGCACGACAAAAATGTGCTGAACACTCTTTGTTCGAATCAAATTGATTTTGATTTTGTGTCTCAACGACATGATGATTAGGGTTGCCGCGTGTTTCGAGAGCAAATAAAAAGTTGTCTGAACACGAACGGTGAATCCGCCTTAAAAGTTTATCGGAATTCAAGTTTTTTGTATACATCGAAAATTTGTTGAAGTTAATTTTGACACGCTAACCAAAAGGCCTTAAAGAACTTAAAAAGTAAATTTGGACCAAAATATTATAAAAAGATTTTATTTGGGATGAAGATTCTTTAGAGTTAGATTCTTAAATCGCATAAGTAATGGAACCACAACTGTATATTAAAATAATAAAATGAAAAAAATAACAACAACAAAAAGAATAATTATTACTGATATCTAATGATTTTTGATTTGAAATATTATTACATTGGTGTAAATATGGAAAAGAAAATACTCCGATGTATTGTTTGAATATTATCAAGGTGGCAAGGGCTTGAGAGAGTACGGGAAATAAAGACATTTCCCTCTCGGAATAATTGGGGGGAAAATGGACTTATGCACGAAAATAACATACCAAAAGTCTCCATCGACAAAAGCGCCGCTAGAAATGTCAAAGTCTACAAAAAAGGTGTTTGCAAAAACTTTGTTAACGGTCACTTTTACGAAAAAATTGTGGCTAGCAAGGTTTTACAATTTATCAGTCCTTTAAATTTTATGCTGAAATATTTGTGTTTGAAGGGCCGCTACATTTTAAAACCTCCTTGAGAAAACGGGCCTAAAAGTATTAACATATTTAGGGTTAGGAATTTGTTGGCCTCTTGGTCAAAAGTGTTTTTAATTTGTTTATAATTGAATGACATATTTGGGAAATCAATCAAAAAACAAGATGGAACCTGCAATTGCCATTAAAAATATAGGTAAAGTATACTCTTTGTTTTGCAAACACATATTTACTGAAATCAAGGCTGGTTTCATTTTTCGAAAATGCTTTTAAAGATTGACCATGATTTAATTAAATTGCCCTGGTGACGTTTTCATGTTTAAGTATTTTTTTATTTAAGTCTGCTAATGTTCCTTCGTCTAAACTCAATTGGTACAATATATTTTTCGAAAAGGGTTGTAAAGTAGAGAAATTTAAGTATGTTTTTAATATTATTTATGTATCTGATGGATTAGCTATATAACTATGCTACATAATTTTATTTTTATATATTTCGAGTCAAAAGTAAAACCCTTCGCTTTTGGGGTCAGTTCAAAAACCTCTTGAAAATGCTTAAATTTTGCACAATACTATAAATTAAGATTTGCATATTTATATAGATATGCATATTTGTATGTATGTTTGTATGCACAAACTTTTCAGAATCGTACGCGTGCGTGCGCATGCACTTCGCTCATTGACAGTGGTTAATTTAAAATGCCCGCCGGCAAAATCCACATGAAGTGTGCCTTTGAAAGAAAGTATTGGCGAAAATTCCCATCGAACTCAAAGAGGGTGGTGTAAACATCCATATGCAGTACGTATGTATGTATGTATGTATGTATGTACATGCATATGTCACCAAACGCTGTCAAAAATCTGCGTTGGCAGTTTTAACCATGCAAACATAAGTTATAAGGACTCAGGATCTTTCATATTACATTTATGCTTGCACACACGACACATATGTATACATACATATGTAGGTACATATCGTCGTTTAAAATACAAAACCGCGTAACTAACATTTTTTGCCTAAAATTGGATTTGCTAACACAAGCTTTTGGGTCAATCCCTATCCATTCGTCCTGAAATATACTAGCCAGAAATGCGATTGCTTTATAAAAAAGAGAACCATTTTGAAATACGAGTGTTTTACTCTCTGGAAAGTAATTTATGCAACTTCGCATACGCATTATCTTGATACGCGGTTTTGCATTTTGTTGATACGCGGTTTTGTACTTTAAATGACGATATGTTTGTAGTACACGTTTCCCTGAACTTAAATAAAATTCTTTAACAGAGTCATGTATACATGTATGTAGATATGTAAATAACCGCCTACTCAAGTAAGTCCCTACATATTTTCATCTTAACACAGCCCCTCATTTACACTCTTTTGGTGTTGTAAAACAAGAAATCCAATTGGATGTGCAATCAATCAGATGATTTTATACGTAATTTGTGAAGATGTGTACAACATTTTTATATTTATGACTATCATCAAATTTTAAGATCTTGAAATATTAAATTTACAAAAATATATATAAAAAATGCATATTTAAACGTAATACGAGTGGTGCTATTTATGTTTTGAGAACATATTGCTGCTTATTGGTTTTCGGCATAATGACCTAGTTACATATCTATCATTGCGTATGAAACAATTAGTATTGGGAGCTCAAAAACAAAAACAAAAAAGAAGCTAAAAAAACTCTGAGAGATGGTTCCGCCATCTGGACTCCCTTTATTTGTTCTTTTCGATTTGTATTTATGGTTTTTTAAGTGTAACCAATGGCAATGAGCACTGAAATAATAACTTCTGAGATACTTCGCCGACCTAAACGGGGTTAGATCGCCGAAACAACAGCCCTTGGTCGGGTGAAACCCGAGTCATTCCGGTACGTAGAACCGTAGGGAATAATACCCTAACGGCCCTGTCCCTGTGGACAGATCCCACAGAAGCTGCACGCTTCCTAGGGTTGCCGTTAGTGGAACTTGACGACAACGACTGAGATACCAACCGATCTGGGCGGGGTTGTTGTAGCCGCTACAACAACAACAACAACAGCACTGAAATAATTCTCAGATCACCTCTTAAGGTCGGGCGGTAGAAGGGAATTCATAATCTGACAAGATCCGATCGCTGAATCGAAAATTCTAACTGTTATTGTTTATTTTATTGCTGTAGCAGCTTACCTAGATCAGCGGATCCTCCAGTGTTTTCGCCAAGCTCATCTAACGGTAAGCCCAGCAAGTGCGCTACTTCGTGGAGATCGACCCAAAAGGAAATGGGTATTAGATGATTCCGTTAAAATTAGCATATGAAAAAGTGGTCAGTATGGAGCGGGCAAATATTCATCATGTCATCGTGCCCCGTCGGGTTGAACAGGTACAGCTGAAGGTGCTGTTTTTCACACACGTACTTTGTTACGCAGGTTAACTGATTGCAAAAATTCTTCTTGCCCTCCAAAAGACCTACTGAAATACGACTCACAAAAGGTCCAAAAGGCTTCTGGAAGGCCTTTTAGAAAAGCGTTTAGCTTCTAACACTATCAACTGAGCTATTTAGTTTACTTCAAACATAAACACCTACTCATTACGATAATAGTTATCCTTTTGAAAAGGGAAGGAACTCTCCTTTCTATAATATGGCTAGTGATGGCAAAACAATTTTATAATCGATTATTCTGTTAATTGATTAATCGAAATCATTCGATCAATAGTTGCAGTTAATCGTAAGAAATTAACCGATCTCGTTTCGATTAAAATTGAAATTTAAATGGCTAATGTCAAATACGAAAATGTAAAAAATATCCCCACCAGTAAAGTTGTATATCGTCACCTGAAATGCAAAAAGACCTAACAAACATCGTCGCTGAAATGCAAAACGACGTAACTAATAAAAAATTCAAAATTCACTTTTTGATTGATATGTATGTCCATCATATTTCAACGAATTACAAAAAAATTATTAGTCACCACTTTTAACATTTCAGTTACGATGTTCTTTCATCTTTTTGCATTTCAGGTGACGATATTTTAATATTATATATGGAGTAGAGTGGCCGCTCTGCTAATATTATTGGGTGGTTAGAGTGGTACTTAATTTTTATACTTTATTGTGTGAGTAAAGGACTCAATTTTTGATAGTTTGTTTTCGATTATTTTGAAAATTATCGGCTAATCGTTCGATTAATCGAAAGGAAAATGTCGATACAATTAAATCGGTACACTGAAGAAAATAACCGATTATAATCGGTTATTCGATAAATCGTGCCATCACTAAATATGGCAAAAATCAAATAGTATAATTTAAGACTTACTTGTACGATTTTGCGCTGGCATGTAACTCATCTTGGTGATTTAGGCGTACCACACCACAACTGAAAAGAAACAATGTAAAACAGTATTGTATTATATGAAGAGATAAGTTAAGTAAAATTTTTATTAAGAATTTGTAGTATACAGGTTTTAATAAAACAACTTACATACGTTACATTAGAAGGTTTGGTTTTGTAAGAATTTAAACTCAACTTGCAGGTGTCTCCATTTGTGTAACAACACACACCACCAATTGACGGAAAAGCTCGGCCAAACATTAACGGCGCTTTCTTTCTACCAAAAAAGTTTGCCCTTTCATTGCCCTCTTTGAACAAACGCTAAGGAGAGGGCAATGAAAATGCAACATTTTTTTGTATAAACCTTAGCCCATTTTATCCCAGATGCAAAAAATTCTAGAATTTTTTAATAAAGCGTAGTACATGACCTATTTTAGTACAGTACAACAGCACGTCGATGATATTGCTATTGCCAACAAAGTACAGAGCCGCAACAAGGTCCTCAAATCGCTACCTGGGGCAAAGACAAAAATACGTTGCTGGCAACATACAAGGCAATAGGCCGGCCGATTTTAAACTACGCAGCACTAGTGTGGTCGCCGGGGACTAGTAGGACGCAGTGGATGAAGCTACAGTCAGCACAGAACACCGCACTCAGGACAGCGACCGGATGCCTCCTTATGTCACCAGAACACCACCTCCATGATGAGGCGAAAATGCTCCCAATAAGGGAGCATAACACGATGCTCTGCAAGCAGTTTCTGGTTGGGAGCCACAGATGTGGCCACCCAAACAGACAGCTGCTTGCAGAGGAGCCCTCGCCTAGGGACGTCAGGAGGCATCTATACGAACTGACGGACGAAGTCCAGTGGTTCATTAAACAACCTCTGGAACCGTCAGCATACCGACAGGCCCTGAACGGCATTCACAGGGACTCAGTCTCGAGTTATGTATGTAGACTCTAGACCTGGGAATTCCGTTCTAGGGCCACAAAAACACCTGACGCTACGGAGCTCCATCTGCCTCGGGAGACCAGAACAACAATAGCCCAACTTCACTCTGGCTACTGCAGCAGGTTAAACTCATACCTGAGTAGACTAAATGCGGATGTGCCAAATGAGTGTGCGGCATGCGGAGAGACCCCTCACGACTCGAAACATCTCTTCGCATGCCCGGAAAACCCGACAACCCTAACGGCGTTGTCCCTGTGGACCGACCATGTAGAAACTGCACGCATCTTAGGGCTGCCGTTAGTGGAACTCGACGGCAACGACTGAGATATCAACCGATCTGGGCGGGTTTGTTGTAGCCGCTACAACAAAAACAACTACCTATTTTAGGCCTAAAAACGATGAAGACGTGTTCAAAAAATTTTTAGTCGCATTGGGGTTCCTATTCCTATTCCATTACTATTACCTTGCGTGAGACCATATACTAAAATAGTTTAAAAAACACTCTGTTTAGGCAATTCAAAACTAAATTAGACTTTTATTTTATAAAAATTTTAAATTTAGTTTGTGTTAAATGAATAATTAAATTAATAAAATATGTAATAAATAGTCAATTTTTATATTGTTTTGTGATAATCATCAAACCAGGACAAACTCCTCTAACAGTCATGGGCCTAGTCACCGATGTGAAGAACGTACTTAAATTAATGTAGGGAACACTTTTCCATCCCACTGAATGGTATCAGCACTGAAAGTTGTGGAAAAAGAGTAACCCGATCCCCCGGGGACGATGACGGAGTGGATGTTCCAACGCCTTACTATGACGAAGTACGAATAGAAATTACGTGTCTGAAAAAAAAAACAAAGCTGCTGGAGCCGACAGCCTTAGCTGAGCTATTCAAGTACGGCGGAGTAAGGAGTTGATAAGATGCATGCCTCTACTCTTATGCAAAATATGGTCAGATGAATGCATAGGTTACAAGCTCTTATCGAGCGTATGGTGTGAAAGACTTAATCCTGTCATCAACGAACTGACAGTGTGGACTATTTGTGGACTTCAAAGCCGCTTTCGACAGCACTAAAAGAAGTTGCCCATACGCCGAGATGTCTGAATTTGTTATCCCCGCGAAACGGATAATATTGTGTAAAATGACGTTGAGCAATACCGTCAATACCCTCAGAATTGGAAAAGTCCTCTCCGAGCCGTTTGCTACCAAATGATGTTTCAGTCAAGGCGACTCCGTTTCATGTGATTTCTTGAATCTTATGTTGGAGAACATAATAAGAGCTGCAGAACTGAACTGCCCAGGAAAAATTTTATTACAATAGCGTGCAATTGCTGGCATATTCCTATGACAGGGACATAAATCGGTAACAACAACCGATGGCTATTCTGGATTTTCCCATTTATTCCAATTGAGTATTCGAGAGTTTGTTTGTGAAAATCTTTTTGCACCGAAATGAAATATTAAAGATTCGCTTCACATTATTAATAAAACTTAAGGTAATTGTATTTTTTATTTTGACAATATAATTGTTCAGTTTAGTTTAGTTCATTAAAGTTAAAGTTTGTTTTTATATCGAATAAAATTTGTGGGAAAATATGTTCAATTGACTTTTGCTTATTATTGCTCGTATTATTCGGGAATTGAACCTTTTTTAATTAAAAAGAGCAGTAAGAAGGTATTTCACTTCAGCTAAAATACTTTAAGTTGCTCGAAGTTGAAACGAATCATCAAAGATTTTCGTATACAGAAAATGCATCACTGAGAGCATTATTATTGAGCTAGAAAACCAAAACAAAAGCGTGAATTTGTATACGTTTTACAATAGAATTGAATTATTTTATAATTTAAGTATACTTTTTCTTTTATTCGGTGTGATATATAAATTTATGCAGCGATAAATGGGATATATTTTGCAATGCAACTAAGATGCTAATCTAGGGCAACAGCACAAATATGAAGCTCTTGAATTCTAGCAATGATGCCCTAATGCCGAGTGCTCAAACACTCACGAATCTTTCACCTTGATATGTACATAAAATGAATTAACATCAAACAAATTGATAAATTTGGGAAAGAAATTTATGTTTTCTTTGTTTACCTTTTGACACAAGCAAATTACTTGAAAATGTAAATTCACCCCGATGCGGTACAGCAACAAGGGCCAGGGGTCTTTTTGTACGAAAAGCAACTTTTGTAACAAATTTATCTTCAAACGGTGGCTATAAAATTTCTTTCATATTTATTAATTAATTCATATATGTATTTGTGTTTTTAGCAAAATTGATGCACTAAACGAAAATTTATTCTAATAAATTCTAAAGTTTATTTAATTAGTGCTGAATAGCAACCGTGCGTGTAAAAAATTGTGTGGTACCTAAAATTTCACCACAGTTTTTTAATGGATATTCTCAGCTGCGAATGGACAACGACGTTTTAGCTCTGAAAGCATTAATCTCGGATGCTGCTGGTGGTATCAGGGGAAGAGAGGGGCCCCACTGCGATGGAAAGACCAAGTGGAGAAGGACTTGGCTTCACTTGAACCAGCGTCAAATAAAAAGGAGAAGAATGAGGAAAAGAATCTTCCACGCATTCATGGAAGGACTGATTATTTTGCGCTACTGCAAAAACCGTGGTAGTAGTGAATCGTCCCAACGTTGCGTTTTCGCAACACCTATATTTTCACATACGCAGTAGGTAAAACTTATCCGCTGGATATATGCACAGGATCATATTTAAGTCCATACGAAAAAAATAAAATTATGCGTGTCACCATTGCAGTCATTTCAAAATTGGTACAAATTTGGCCCTATTTTATACATGTAGCGTGTGTGAATCGTTAAGAAAGTTCGCGGAGAGTAAACAAAATCGACTTCAATTCTCATACCAAAAATTTAGGAGTACCGTCAATTTTTTTCATTTTCGAAATCGGTTGACGTGGTCCAAAGTTATGCGGTAATATACATAAAAAAATAAAATATTCCGACGAACTAATAACCTCCTCCTTTTTTTAGAAGTCGGTTAAAAATATTATTCAACAGCTTTCCCCATAGAACTTTGTTACCGATTCGCACACGCCCATGGAAGGAGGAAAGACTAACTGCAAGTAAACACTTTTTTTTAATAAATTCGTAAAATATAAAGCGAAGCAAGCTTCCATTTGACATAATCCATTGAGATTTCTGCAGCTTACCTATTTTTCAAATTTTTTTAATTCTGCTGTGTCAAAAACACAACAGCGGTACGAAATGGATTACTAACTGCACGTCTCCCAGAAGGTATACGATATAAATTAAGAGATATCTCATACCATTTATCGCATACCTAACTATGGGTTTAGCAACTATTTTTATACCCGAGCGCACTTGTGCACAAAGATATTATAACTTTGTTCGCATAAAGGTTGTTTGTAACAGCCAAAACAAATCAAGATAGATATAGACAAATGTATACATAAATGCTCAGAATGAAAAGAGAAATCGATTAAGCCATGACTGTCCGTCTGTCTGTCCGTGTACACGATAACTCGAGCAAAAATTGAGATATGTCAACGAAATTTGGTTAGTATTTAAGTTGCCCTTTATCCAAGGTAGTTTGGGATTGAAAATGGGCAAAATCTGGCAATAACCACGCCCCACCTCCCATATAACGGTATTTTCGAAATATGCAAAAACTAAAATATTGCCGCAAATACTGGATCTAAATTGTTGAAAGTTGGTATTTGATGTAGAATTTTGGCATACAATAAGACAGTATTTCAATTTTTTTTTAAATAGCCGTGGCCCCGCCCACTTATGATGAAATACTGTATCTCTGTAGTCCCTTTACCAATCCCAGCAAACTCCGTGCGAACATTGCTTAGGGTCTCACTATGGAACCCGTTGAAAATTTTTGAAATCAGACAAGAGCCACGCCCACCTTCCCATATAACGGAAATTTACAGAAATATGAAAACTGCGATAAATTAGTAACTATTTTAGCTAATTTACTTAAAATCGATATATGCAATTTCCTCTTAGCAGAAAATTATATTTAGGGAAAGTTTTGGAAAATGGGCGTGGCACCGCTCACTTACGCATACATATGTGTA